CCATGGAGATAAAAGAGCATGATGTTTTACCACTGTATCTGGCTCCAGTAAACCAGCCATTTCTGAGACAGTCCTATGTCCTTTGTTCTTTTCTGAGGACGTATTAAATAAGAACATCACAGCATATTCCTGTTTTAGCCCACCAGTCTCTGTCAGTTTGTTTGTTTCCCAAATCAATTGTTGTCTTTTATTATCATCTTTAAAATGTCACAGAAGGCCTTAGAAATTATCCGGCCTGTTACTGTAGTTAGAGAACTCTTAGATCTTACTCATCAGCCTGCAGAACTGTACTCTTCTCAGAGACATAGACACCATCCAAGAATTTTCTTATAGCCTTATTTTTAAGTGTTGTGGCTTGCCGTATCAAAGCAGCTGAATTTGAAACAAGTTCAATATCATTGCCTTCAAGGATCAACTCATCTTTCTGGGCTTGAGATACTGAACAAGCAACACCTGGTCTCATTCGAACCCTCCAGATGTATTTTTCACCCAAGAAATTTCGGATTTCAACAAGAGACCCATTCTCCTGAATAACAACATTGATGGGGAGATGAGCATACACAGACCTCATCTTGTAGTGGAAGCCCAACATAACACCCTTGATCATGTTCTGGGCGTGACTACAGATAGTGCGAACAGTCGCCAGCTCCTTTCTGTTTCCCCACCATTTGTCAACCCTCAGCCTGTTCTTTTTCTTCCTAAGGAGGCTGAGCTCGAGATTGATGTGGTCAAAGTCCCTCCACAGGGTTCCTCTGGGGCCCTTCATGATAAAGGTGCGTCCCTTCAGGATGATGTCAACGTTCTTGGGAATGTTGAAGGTCTAGTTGCTGAGAATGGTTTTCATCCTGGCAGTAGGCACAGCCTCTGTCAGTTCTCTGGGCAGTGTATGTGTATTAGCCTATAGTCTACAATTTTCATCTAAATACTTACTTTGGCCCATCTTTGCCTTAGTGCAGTAATCTTCATAGGACTTGATACAGGTTGAGCATCCCTAATATGAAATTCAGAATGCTCTAAAATCCAAAACCTTTTGAGCATGACATGATGCCACAAATGGAAAATGTCACACCTGATTTCATGAGATGAGTTGCAGTCAAAACTCTGCAATACAGAAATACTGCGTAAAATTGCCTTCAGGTGGGGCTAGACAGTGGCCCAGTGGTAAAATGTGTTGCTCCATGAGGCAGTCCTACATGGAAAGGTTTCTTGTTCAAGTCCAGAAACCTCCTGAGTACTCTTGAGTATATGTTTTACCTGTGATCTGGGGCAGGCTGTTTCTCTCTCCACGACCCCAACCTCAATAAATAAACTTTTTTTTAAAAATTACCTTTAGGCTATGTGTATAAGGCATATGTGAAACAAATGAGTTTTGTGTTCAGACCTTGGTCCAGACCCCAAGGTATTATGAATATGCATATATTCCAAAATCAGAAAAATCTGAAATCCAAAACACTTCTGGCTCGATGCATTTCAGATATCATTCCATTGGGTGTTTTTGTTTGTTTTTTGTTATTATTTTTTTCCATGAGTGAGAGAGGCAGAGAGAGAGACAGTACCCCTAACAGGGTCTTGATATTGGCAGGCCAACCCCCAACTTCAGCCAGCCCTGGATTTGGGCACATGTCCAGATCTCAGGGAGATCTTTAAACATGAACCTGGTAACCTGGCACTTCTTGTGTGGGTTGGCCTTGTAGAGTGTCATATTTTCCCACCACACCACTGTCCGGCCACTTCACCTGCATTTCCAAGACTGTTTTAGTGTAATCGCATTGTAGTATGCTGGCAGGAATTCAGAGTCACAGAGAGCCTTGAAGGGCCCTGGTAGGTCAGGAAACCTCTTGGGGGAGCTTCCTGGAGCCCACAAGTGGTGGGCAGAATTCAATGAGGTGGCAACACAGAGGAGGAGGAGGACATTCTCTGCTACTTTTCTGTTCTTCTTTTTCTCAGGGCTGTTGCTTTCTGTTGCTCAGATGGCTGCTGGGGTGGGGAGGGGGAAAGGTTAATTATATTTCCTTGCGAGATGCATTTTATCTTTTGAGTCTCACTACAGATACTACTGTCAACCCTGCTTTTTACAGGTGAAGACACTGAGATTTAGAGAGGTGAAGGGGATGACCCAAGTCACAGGCAGAGCTGAACTAGAGCATGCACCAGGAAGGAAGGAGTGTCAGAAGGATCTGAGCTGGGATGAGTTGAGAAAAGGGACCAGTGATGGTGAGGATGATGGCTGCCATTTAATCCTCTCATAATTGCTTATTTGGGTTTGTTCTGGATGCTGGAGAAGGAAGGGAGGAGCCTACCAGATAGCAGACCAGATGCTTCTTAGAGGGTCAGATCTGTGTGGAGAGCCTCTCACACAGGAACCCAACTTGGAGCCATCTCTGGCCTAAACCCTGGAAGGGGTCTGCTAATAAATCAGACAGCAATTTCTAGAGCAGACATGGAGAAGCTCCTGGAGTAGAGCTGGGTATTGGAGTTACTGAACATGGCCAGATACAGCCCATGGGATCCATGGAATCTGAGAACAGGAGAAAGTGTGTGGAGGAGTAGGAGCTTGGAGGATTCTGAGCAGAGTGATGTGACAGTAATGGGTGGAACAGTATGTGTGTGCTGTAGGAGGAGTTGGGAAACTGGCGTGTGGGTGCCTTCTCGTTGGGTTTAGACAGACCGTGTCACCCGGAAGCAGTTTCTCCTCTGAAATGGAACTAGAATGTGTCCTTTATCTGTGAATGTGCAGGGCTCTACAGAATTCAGTCCAGTGGTGAGGAACTAATGATGAAGGCTGCGTCTGTGAGTAGCAGGCAGTGCTTTGGCTGGGAGGCTTCGGTCGCATTTCCTAGCAATGCGGGGGATGTCACAGGGCTCCAGAGCAGGCAGAGTAGAAATGTGGAGGCTATTTCCATTGAGCCCAGTGACGGTGTTACTAGTGTCGAGAGAAAGCCACAGGGGCCTAGGGGTCGCCACACTGCCTTTTGGGTAAGGTGAGCAGACATTAAAGATCCTGACAAGGATATTGGCAAGGAGGCTGGCAGGGTGGATAGCACAGTGTGGATCAGAATTGGAGGGACTCTTCTGGGGAAGTGAGAGAAGAAAGAATATGATGTTCACACTCTGGGATGAGCAAAGAGGGGGAGTCAGGGACTTAGAGGTGGCCCCTGGAGGAGGGAGCACGGAATCCTAGGTGTGCCTAGGCAGACACTGCCTGCCTCTTTTCCTTTAGGACCTGGCTCAGGTGGGTTCCTGACTATCCGCCTTAAACCCCAAAAGGAGAAGAGCCTGCTGTGCGTTTGGTAATACCAAAGCTGCCAGCTAGTGTTTGTTGCTAGGGAGCAAGAAGGTGAAAAAGGGAACCAGCAGTTAGCGTAATGGCTATGTTGCTGGACTCCCACGTAGTTGACCGCGGTTCGTGTCCCGGACCCGGTGGCTTAAAACTCACACCGGGCGCGTGTGCGTGCGTGCCCAAGATCCCGAGAGGAGAATGGAGGAGAAGGGATTGCGGCGTGACCATCCCCCCTGGGGGGTGATTTCTCGCTTTCTGTCTCTATGTCTCTGTCTGTCTGGCGAGCGCATGCGCCCTACAGTGAAAATCTCCCCCCCCCCCAAAAAAAAAGGTGAAAAAAGAACCTCTACAGAGCTATTGGGGGGCCTGGCGCTGGGAGAAGGGGAGGTATGTGTTGTTGTTTTTTTTTTTTTTTTCAATAGGAAGTATATCACTGTTGGGTTATTCTGTTTCTGAGCTTTGGTGGGAAGGAGTGTAATTTCTTAGCATCTCCTACATGCCAGGTCTGACAGAAGCAGACCTGAAGGGAGTCTGAATTATACTGAAGGCACATCTGACAGGGAGGACTGCTGGATAGGAGGGGCCAGGTCAAGCAGCAGAGTTGGCCAAGTTGGGTATCCATGTAATAAGACCTAAGGAGGAGGCCCAGGACTGAGGCTGGTGCCACTGGGGCAAGGAGCCCAGGTTGTACAATGCAAGCCGCTCCCAGAGCCTCAGTCCCTGGAGCTAGCTTGTGATAGAGGCTAGAAGAGGTCCAGGTTGTGCTGATGTTTCAGGCCCACCCTCCTGTCAGCAGGACCCTGGGGAATCAGATTTTGGAATGATTTTAGAGTATGGTTTTGGAATTAGACAAGCCTGGACTTGAGAAAAATGTTAAATGCAAAAATAAAAAAGTTCTGCCTTTCCCCAGAACCTGACTTAATTTCTTGTATCCTATCTCCAAATTGCATGTATATAATAGGTATTCAGATCCTTTTTGTTGTATAAATAAAAGCATTGTGTTATACCTTGCCTTTGTCCCTTGTGTAAATGATTGGCCACATGGAAGACCCACCTACTTCATGTTAATGACTGCGTAGTATTCTTTTGTACTGTATGCCGTAAGTTAACTCCTTGGACTACAGTTGATGGACCAAGGGGTGCTAGTTTGGGATTATTTTGATGCAGCAGCAGTCATACTTTAGACCTCTGAACACTGGGACCATTCTTTCTATAGATTAAATTTTATGGACAGATTTTCTGGGCTCAAATTGTCTCCCGACTCTGCCTCATCCAAATTCCCCTTCAAAGAGATTCTGCCAAGTCACAAACAGTACATGAGGGCTACAAGTGATGACAGTAATGCAGAGCTGTTGTAAGGATTAAATGAGACCATGTATGAAGCTTTCAGCCAGTGCTGGCCACATCAGGCTGCAGGGGTAGGGCTCAGGGCAAGGGCTGCATTGCAAATTGGATCGCTTTGGACGAACATCAAATTAGATGTAGGGTTGGGTTTCATAGCTTGAGAAGGAGAGGTGGCGGGAAACAGTAGTCCAACAGCCACCAAGGATCTGATGTGTGCCAGACACTGGAGCAGGGAGAGCAGAGAGCCAGATGGTGCGCTCCTGCCTGCCCTGCCCTTAGGGAGCTCAGGTCTTCATAGTGTGGTAAGTGCTGCCACTCAGAGTACCCTCTCACTGGGTCTTTCTCTCCCCTACCTACCTTCCTTACATCCCCTCAGTGTACTTGGTGGAGCAGGAAAGGAAGACGGACAACGGGTGTCAGGCACTCCTGGCCGCTTGCTGGGCTGCTCTCTGCTGCTGCTGCCTTCTGGACAACTTGGATTACTGAGCAGCCAAGACCCAAGTGCTCCTCCAGCCCTGTGGCTTCTATGTGGGAATAAACAGCTAGTGTTGCACCATTTCCGTTTTTCTTCTTCCTTTGGGAAAAAAATCTTATCTGCAGACTTTTAAATTTTACACCTATACAGGTGTGAAATGGTCTCTAGTTTGCCTTCTCTGAGTACTAGTGACCTTATACATAAAAATATACATTTTTGGCAGTTCATACACATTTTGTGAACTGCTTGTATATTCTTTGTCCTTTTTTCTTTTCTATTTGCCTTTTTCTACTGATTTTTAGGGAACTAATATATTCTGTGTGTGACATTCCAGTTTCAGGCATGCAAATATCTTCTTCCTATCTGACTGTCTCTAAGCTGTTTTATTTTTAAATTATTATTTATTTAATTTTATTTATTCATTTATTTTACTTTTTTTTGAGAGGTTTTCGCTATAGGACACCTGCCCTCGCCAGAAGGACAAAGAGAAACAGAGAGATAGAAAGCGAGAAATCACCCCCCCCCCAGGGGGGATGGCCACACCTGCAATCCCTTCTCCTCCATTCTCCTCTCGGGATCTTGGCTCGCACGCACACGCGCCCAGCATGAGTTTAAGCCACTGGGTCCAGGACTTGAACTGCAGTCGACTACTTGGGAGTCCAGCGACATAGCCATTAAGCTAACTGCTGGTCCCAATTCATTTATTTTAATTTGACCAGAGAGAGACACAGAGAGAGAGAAAAAGAGGGAAAGTGAGAAAGAAGCCACCAGGTCCAGAACTTGAACCATGGTCGACCATGTGGGAGTATCCAGCACCCCAACCACCACCCCACCTGCTGGCCCTCCTCTTAACTGTTTTTAAGATGTGTTTTGTAGCATGAAAAATTTTAAATGTCACATTTATCAATGTTTCCCTCATGCTTTGTGTATTTTAGTTTTTGAAAGTTATTTTCTATTCCAAGCTAATAACAATAAGTCTGTATTTTCTAAAAAAACGCTCAGTCTTTAATCCACCTGAATTTATTTTGATCATGGTGTAGGATAGGGTCCTGGTGTTTTTCACTTCATTGTGATACTTCAAACCTGGTTTATTGATTAGGTCATCCATTCCCCATTAATTCAAAAAGAAATTTGTCAGATACCAAGTTTCTGTATATATGAATGGCTAGAAACAGGAATCTGGTATGATAAAGTACTCTCTCCACTACTGGCACATGTGTAAACATGAACTCCTTATTTTTTATAATTTTCTTGGCTATTATTGGCCTTTTATTCTTTAATCTGGATTTTAGGGTGAGTGTTAATTTCTAAAGAAAACCGTGTTCATCTTTGATTGGGGCAGCTTGTAACTTACAAACTGATTGGGGGAAGTGTTGACATATTTACAATCATGTTCTCCTATTATGAATATGGTTGTTCTTGATTTATTTTCATCTACTTTTATGCCCATAAATATTAAGTCTTGAAATTTTTTTCATATAGTTCTCACATATTTTTGTTGGATTTTAAAATTAGATTTTGGACCAATAGGTGGTGTGGTAGTTAAGGTAGTTGGAGCCCACATGACTAAATACATGTTTCAAGTCTTGAACTTGGCAGCTTGAAAAACATACCAAGCATATGTGCATTTGTGCCCAAAAACCTGAGACGAGAATGGAAGAGAGGGGACTGTGGCATGACCATGCCCTATGGGTGATGATTTCTTGCTTTCCTTCTCTTCCCCCCTTCCTTTTCTGTCTCTCTCTGCCCTGTGACAAAATTTCAAAAAAAATTAGATTTCTTTCCAGGCAATCATAATTTTAATGCTATTATGATGTATTTCCTTTCAAAAATATTACTTTTGGGGACCATTTTGTGGTGTGGTGGTTAGGGTGGCTGGATCTCACATAGCTGACTGTGGTTTGAGTCTTGGACCCAGCAGCTTGAAAAACACATCAGGTGCAAATGAATGTGTGCCCAAATTCCTGAGGCAGGAGAGATGGAGGAGAGGGGATTGCAAATATGACTGTCCCCCATGGGATGGAAGGCTTTCTTACCCCCCACCCCCTGCCATATATCACTCTGGCAAGCACACATGCCCTTTGGCAAATTCTAAAAATATATATTACCTTTTTTTCTTGGTAGAAATAATTTCTTTACTGCATTGGAGTCACAGATTAGAAAATTTTAACCTAGTGTCAAGGTTTCCTTGGGACACTTTAGCTGTGGGAGGAGCAGTTATTTTCATTCCGCCCCATGCACACTCCAGTGTGTTAGACAAGAAACCATGCATAACAGGTACCCTTCTCTGCCCTCATGGGGTTTAAATCCCAAAGAGGGAACTGGACATTAGTCCCACAGATAATATGGATTGAAAAATTGTGGCACATATACTCCATGGAATACTATTCAGCCATAAAATAATGTATATACTTTTTACAAAGAGAAGCAATGTCATGCTGTAAGCACATATAAAAAGGTGGAGTCTGGGAGGACTTCTCCATAGAGATGATATGTGAGCTAAGATTTGAAAGATGAATGAATAGGTGATCAGCAGCAAAAAGGCTGCAAAGAGGGTGCAAAGATCCAATAGCAAGAAAGAATGTGAATCATTTGAGAAAAGGAAATTGATGTGGCAGACAGCAGTGGAGAACAGACAGGAAATGGGCAGAGGGAGCCGGGAGGCTCTAACTTACAGATCTTGTGAGCAGTGGGAAGCTGTTGAAGATTTTTCAGCTAAGGGGTGATAAGGTCAAATTGGCATTTGTAAGAGACACTTTAGGCTTCTGGGTGAATTGTTTGGAGGGGGACAAAAGTACCTGTGATGGAGAAAAAAATGCATTTGTGATACCAGGGTCTTAAAAAAGCTCAAAATGAGGTCTGGCAGGTGGCATGCTGGTTAAAGGCGATGGATTCCCATATGGCCGACCACGATTTGGTGGCTTGCTTTCTCACGTTCTCTCTCTCTCTCTCTCTCTCTCTCTCTGTCTGTCTCTGGTCAAATTAGCCTGAATGAACAAAAAAATGGAATTAAATATTTTTTAAAAAGCTCAAATCCCTATTATGAAAAAAGCTGTGCTTGGATTTCAAAAGGTTTTTTGTTTGTTTTTTGGAAGAAACCTTTCAGAAGGTTTTGTACCAAAATAACTTGTACTATAATTGCCGTTTTCCATGAACTTTTTGAAATCTACACCATTTGTCAGCAGGGCTTGGTGATGGATTGTCTATGATAGTTGAGGAATAAAGTAAGAGGGTTGACCTCAGGCATCTGACCTTGAAACGGGGTGCCTGGTGGTGGCGGTTGCAAGAGGCTGCAAACAAGAGAAAGGAACCATGTTCATTAGAAGAAACTCATGTTGCGTTCTGAGCATAGAGTCAATTTGAGGTGTCAAGGTGACAGAGATACTAAAGCAGAGATGTCAGGTAAGCAATTGTGTATATGCCTGCAACTTAGAGGAGCCTTTAGGCTGGAAATACAGATATGAAAAGCCTTAGCACATTGGTTGAAACTGTGGGGATGAATAAGATGAATTGGATGAATATATGGAAGACAGGTGGAAGCAGTGCAGGCTGAGCTTTAAGGGATTCTGGCATGGACCCATAGGTGACAACCTGCAAAGGAGCCAGAGTTGGAAAGCCAAGAGAATGGGGTGTCCTGAAAGTTGAGAGAAGATGTAATATGAAGAAGGGAGTGATCTGTAGCATCAGAGGTTGCTGAGAGGTTAGGAAAGGTGGAACACAAGTATCTGTTGGAGTTAGCCATATTGCTGCTACTGAGGTATGGGCTTCTCCCTAGTTCCTGCTTTGCAAAGGGTACCAAAAGAGGGAAAGATGAGATTGCTGGGACTAGGAGGCAGAGCTCCTCAAGCCCAGAGGAAGACAAACTTTTGAGCAGGCATGCAACAGGTGCAAAGAACCAGTGAAGCATGAAGGCCAGGAACCCCTGCTAGCTGGAGAGAAGCACGAAACAAAACACTGAGTTCTAGGAAGGTCAGGCACCATATAAGGAAGTCAGAAATATAATGTCTCTGAGTTTGGAGGCTAGACAGAAGAGACAGTGTTCCTATGTCTTCTGGGGTAGCTGCTAGAGGATCCAGCACATAGATAACCAAACAGGTGATCATCCATGCACTGGGGATGCCCTTCTGAATGGCAGCAACTAGTATTTCATGACCACCATTGCAGATTTTGCTCATAGCAATCTCTTCAAAAGAAACTACATGTAACTCCGGTATGGAAAACAGACACTGGCATTTCTGTGGTTGAGGCAAGAACCCACTCCTTGCCTCATAGGGAAGCCCAGGGACTTCTCTGAGAAGTACATTTGAAGGTCTTTGGTCTTTAGGGATTTTCTGTTACGTCTGGAAAAGGAAGTTTTTGTGCTGGATGGATTTTGCCCTGCAGTGTCTCTCTGGGATACTGCTTTGTATTCTCAATCGTGTGTAACTGCTGGTGTGTTCTGTGAGATCTAGTGGGTACTTTATTGCTAAGTGTTTGGAGGTATGCCACAGTTTATTTATCCATCCGTTGAAGGACATTTAGGTTCCCACTATTTAGAGATTACAAATATAGCTGCTATGAACATTTATGCACAAGTTTTTGTGTGAACATTAGTTTTCATTTCTGTAAGGTGAATACCCAGGAGTGGACTTCCTGGGTCATAAACTGCTACTGTTTTCTAGAGTGGCTATAGTATCTTATATTCCTCTCAGCAATGAATGAGAGTTTCAGTTGCTCTGCATTCTTGTCAGAACTTGGTATTGTCAGTATTGTTTGTTTTAGCCACTCTGATGGGTGATATCATGGTTTTGATTTACATTTTCTTAATAGCTAATGATGATGTCATGCCCTCTCTAGGCCTCTTTGGTGTCTCTTCAAGGCTTTTGCCAATTTTTAAATTGGGTTACTTTCTTTCTGTTTAATATTGAGAGTCTATATATTCTGGATACAAAGTCTTTGGTTGGAGATGATTTGCAAAATTTTCTCTTGGCGCTTGTCTCTTCATCCCTTAAAAATGTCCTTTACAGAACAAAAGGTTTGAAATTTTTTTTTAAGTTTTTAGTTTATTTTAGGGTATGTGCACTTGCAGGAGAGAGAGAAAAAAATTACCCCCTGGG